AAAAAAAAAAAAAAAGAGAAACTTATAGTCATTTAGCTAATTAAAAAATACCCTTCTTGTTATGGAACCAAGTGGTTTATTACCATTTCCACAAGATCCACCGTTCACGATTAATCCAGTCCAAACTTTTCCACTCCATTTCCTTGAGATCCATTTTTATATTATTTTCCCATGTGTGCCTAGGCCTCCCCATTAGGCTTTCGAAATTCTTGGTTGCATTTGAAAAGAGAATGACAAATTTCACCTCGTCTATGTATGCGGCTGATTACAGTCAAACTTAATATGATATTTGGTAATTGGAGTATACCATTTTAATACATATATTTTAGTTTATGACTTGTTATTGCGCAAATGAGATTAACATTACAAGCAGTGGAGTGGTTAAAACAATAAAAGATATTTAAAAAAGGAGAGAGAGAGAGAAGAAGAAGAAGACACTTCAGTCACATGTTGTAATACCACAGTATTTTATCACAATAATTGACCATTTTGTTGCGTTTTCTAAAGAAATAGTGCGTTGATACTGTTGATTCACATTCATTCTGAAGTCTGGTTACTGAAGTCGCGTACAAGATAATAATCAGAGTGTTTGTCCCTCAGGTGGGCCGTGAAGGCGATATTCAGCCATTAACCGTCCGTCCACTACCAGTCAATCAGTTCAGTATAGTTCATGAACGGGAGCTCTTACCCCATGATCCGTACGGCATGGTGAAGTGTTGTGAGAGTCTGGCGTTCCTCATCAGGGATGTTGCTCACATCACGCCTTACAACTTTGAAAACTGCGTTCACTGTATTCGGACATTTGTAGAAGCTAGTCTAAGTGGAAGTAAGTTTTATGTTATAGCAGGAGTCATGGATGTAGTGTACCAAAACATTTGAGTTTTATGGGCTGTTACTTCCTGTGGTGCCACACATTAAAAGCGAAATTTTGGTTTTTATTTCCTTTACTGTGATTTTATGACATTATGTTCATGGATTATTCATTTGGTTGAAGGTTTTGAATTTCTTTTGATACTAATGTATACTTGTGCTCATTTTTTCTTGTTTCATTCTCTCTTTTTATTATTTACAAAAAGTTTGTGTGGCCTGAACGCATAGGAGAGGTTTCTGTTTCATCCATCTGCGTGTTGTATCTCCAGAACTACCGAATGAATTTTGATTTTGGAGCTCCGTGCAAAAGGTTGCTAAGTTAATTTAATTTTAGTTCATAACCTGAAGCTTAAATCAAACTGCTGCTTCTATCAAAACTGGCTCATCGTACAAAGTAAATGTACGTTGCATAAAATGTAATTCACATTTTAAAACTTTTATTTTAAACATTACTTTCATATGGTGTATAAAAATTAAGCCTGAAGAAATGATAATTAATATTCCTGTGAGATGTAAATTGCTTTGCAACAGCAGTGTGAACACCTAAACAATGGATTGAGTTCATTGTGAATTTCATTCATATTTTCTCACTTTTTCAATTCACTGTTCGCTAAACTAATTCAGTTGATTTCTAGTAGCTTAATAATGCCTGAGGAAGAGTCTTAATATGTGTTAGAAAGTAGTTTTATCCCAATCAACAGCATTAACCGACTGATCACTGTCGTGGCGATGTGTCGTATCTTCTTTGTGGTAAGAAGTGGAACTGTTAATATTGTTTAGACGATCCTTTGCTTCAGAATGTTAATCGCATCTCTCGCCATAATGTAGACCTCACTTTCAGATGACAAACGAGGACTGAAGAAGAGTCCAGGGTCGCACAGAGGAGCAAAAGCCAGAAAGAAGTTGGCAGGAAGGAGGAGAGATGAGAGCTACAGGGCACGCGGCCCTCGGAATGCATCCAACCCTTATGATGCTGATGAGAGCGATTCAGAAGAACTGCCCAGTGGATACCATCAGGTGTCTATACAGGTGGGCAGGAATTTTGAGACACGTTTGGTTCTTACTGGAGTTTGTGCCTGTCTCTCTGACCATCATCATTCAGACTCGGAGGCAGAGCATGCGAGTACACGCGTGGATTTAACTGAGTTTTAGGCATGTTCACATTCGTGTGCAGTACCTGTTAAAATAATTTCACCTTCAGTCCATCCTTATTAATTTTCTAAACTAAAAAAAAAACAGACCAGGCTTTTATTAAATTTAATATTGAGGTTAGGTTTCACCAAAAATCTTTCAGCACATGCCGGCTTTGGTCAAAATCAGGCAATAGTAACGGACATTCGGCAATTCTCCAACCATTCACAAAGGTCAGAGCTCAGGTTATAGTTAATTTGCCAGAATTGTTATGCGGAGCGTACGTATCGAGACTAGTTTTCTTATGGATGTATCCACCATTTTATAAGCAGTGAAACATATTTTGCCGAGAGTTAATATTCAGCCAATCTTCACTTTTTTTTTAAAGTTGTGTGTGTTCATTTCAAAGCACTAAAGAAACTAAAAAAAACCAGGACAAACATGAAAAGCGACCATCTTATATTTTGACCGATAAGCAATGAGACATCGCTGTTTCAGGGAGCTTCCTTTCTTCCTATCCCAAGCATGTGTGATTGAGTAAGGTTAGGTCAGTGTAACCACCAATTTCCATTGTGCTTCAGCTTCTGGACCTTATGCACACACTACACACCCGTACTGCACAGATCTTTCGATGGTGGGCCGAAGAGAATGGAGAGACGGACTTCACATCGCTGTGGGCTCAGGGCTGGTGTCCATTGCTACAAGGCATTGCCAGGCTGTGCTGTGACTCTAGGAGTGAGGTATCGTGTTGCCACGGTGATCGGGGTTTGAAATTAGAAAGCAGTTATCTAATAGCTAGGTACGCTGCTGATTTATATTGGGGAGGTTCTTGGTTTGATTCTCAGCGCAGGTGGTGACCACATGGTGGAACATCTCAGACGATGACCACCCACCTTCACGCTTGTTGCTATGAAAACTTGAAAGCTGACAAATTTGCTTGATACTGATATTTCCATACAGGTGCATAAGAATGCCATCGCATATCTCCAGAGGGCACTGCTGTTTCATGACCTGCAGACGCTAACAGCTGCTGAGTGGGAGTCGTGCTTCAACAAGGTTCTGTTCCCTCTGCTGGCCAAGCTGCTGGAGCCAGTCAGCCCACAGGACCCCTCTGGCATGGAGGAGACACGCATGAGGGCCGCTACTGTCCTGTCCAAAGTGTTCCTTCACCACCTGACTCCTCTCTTATCCCTGCCCACCTTCACTGCCCTCTGGCTTACAATTCTGGATTTCATGGACAAATACATGCACGTGGATAACAGTGATCTGCTTGTGAGTACTGCTTCTGTCCATCGGAACTCAAATATCATATTGAGGTTCTCTACCCTAGTATTTCAAGGTCACTTCAGTCCTGAAGGTGTAGGTTATAACATTCCTCCAAAATGACAATACTGCGTAGATGGTATCACAGCCCACGTGATCAAAAGTCAAAATTTCCATTGCCACGAGAAGCTCACATAACTTTTCTTGCATTTCTCGCAGTACGAAGCTATCCCCGAGTCACTGAAAAACATGCTGTTGGTTATGGATTCAGCTGGAGTGTTCTCCAGTCCTGAAGGGTACACCCAGCTGTGGACCATCACCTGGGATCGCATAAACACATTTCTGCCGACACTAAAACAAGAACTGTTTAAGTCCCATCCCGCAGGTAACCGCTATCTCAGTAACTTAACCTTGTCACAAGGACATACGATCTTTCTGCTGTGTAGATTTCTATAATAGGGGTCATTATGTGCATCTTCAGTTGATGCCCAAACGAGGCTCACATCTAAGCCGGAGAGGAGTGTGGCCAGTCCGGAGCCACAGATAACATCTGCTGCATCCCCAGTGTCAGATGAGCCTACTCCAGTTGGTGATCCTGCGATGAGCCGATCAACGAGCATCATTCTGCAGCCACCTGCGTTGGCTACATCTCGCAACATATCCACCCCAATCTTCACTCACCTCGGACAGCAGGTACCTAGAAATTCCTCATTATGATGTCATCATACGTAAGTGTCATTGATCTGTGGAACGTGACATAATTATTATGTTATGTGTGAAGTAAAAAAAGTAAAAGTAATGCATACGTTTCACAACTAATTAATTTACAGATGCTGCAAAATTCATTAAAGTCAATTGCATGTGTAATAATATCCGAGTGGTGTCGCAAGCCAGGCTGAATCTTTTCGGAGCGTGTTTCTGGTCTTCAGGTGGTGATGTGATATTTTTGCTTCTCCCTGCTACCTGCCACAATTCCCAAGCTACAGCTGTAGTCCGACTGTGTTTGACAATATTCCATAAATGTCATTATCAAATGTTTGTTTCAGATCTTGTCGACATCAATTGGTCCCCCCATTCAGCACAGTCCTGTAGTTTCCCCTCTCCCTGATTTAACCACCGCCCAACCCCCAACCCTTTCTGCCTCAGCGGAACCAGTGGCACATTCACTGCTGTACAGGCAGCCTCAGAACGTTATTCCACCTGTTTCTCTATACGGTCAGCCCGTCTCACTGTACAGCCAACCTCAGAACACTTTACCCCCTGTAACACTGTACAGCCAGTCCAAACCCCCCATACCCATTTACAGTCAGCCGCAAACCACGACACCACCGACTTCGAGCATCAGTAACACATCGAGTACTGCCACCTCAACAGACCAGTCAGTGGTCAGTGCCTCTGGTGTTATGATACCATCACATTATTTCTACCAAGATGCTGGGGTAAGCAAAATGCTTCTGAACTGCGATTAAAAATGGTGGAGAAATTAGGAGAATTATCCCGCCAAGCGCCTCAGTGGCGTATAGTGGGACAGCTTTACTTAACTTGCTTTTAAAATGTTATTTTCCTGGTCATGTTTTGTGGTAGTTGTTGCCAACTTTCCTGTCTTAACATTTGGTCTGGGTTTAGAGATGTTTTTTTTTGTTGTTGTTGACAGGAACAGCAGTTATTTCCTGCTCCATCGCCCTCATCTGGTGCGTCCAACACTAGATCAGCATCGGCTGGTGTGCCCTGTTCACCTAACGTGTTCCTACTGAATCCAAATCTAATTGAAGGTGCCAGCATTCCAACTTTTCCCATCCTCTCCCCTCCAGGGGGATTCAGCAACCAATAATCAGCTGACAAGGTATTGAGAAATGTTGCCACACAGTGGGGTTTCTGCAGGGGAGGAAATTGGTGTGGGAATAGAGACAAGGGTTTTAATCCGAAGGAAATCGCATGTGGTCACGAGGTACACCCAAAATGTTTGCCAGATTGCGCTGCCGTTGGTTAAATTCATCATTCATAGAAAAATCATATTTTTTCTTCTTGTCTGAAATTTGAGGTTCTCATGGCAGTAAAGATGTTTGTCTTCTAGGTTGTCAGTGGTAAGAACAGATTTATGTATCACCAAGCGTTTATACAGCTCAGTAACATGAATATTTGGTGCAGTGGACATCCTGTAAGACGAATTGGTGTCGAGGCTTAAATTGTATGAACAGACACACCCAATAGTTTAGAATTACTGTAAAAAAGTACATATATTTTTATGGGAGTAAATATGAAATGATTGTGTACATTGTAACTGGATTATGTAACGTGGCTGAAAGGACATAATGAATTCAGTCATCTGCGGATGTTAATAAAATTTGTAGTCGTTATCAGAGTTTAACCCCGCCAGAATAGTGTCTGCTGGCAACGCACTGTAGATGTCAATGCTTCTAGAAGGAACAGTGATGAAAACGGTAACAGGCGAGAAGAATATGTTGTTTATTTAGTGATACTCTTTCAACTGCATGAGTTATATCTTTGGTGCTGAGTAATTTGAATTTACTTCCTTCACAACAACCATGGAAGGTACAATGTAAAATGGGAAACGACAGTATGATTATGAAATATGGTCGAATAAAGGATGTTACGAGGGAACATACTTCACCAGGATGTCTCAGAAAATTAGGAAAGTAAAATGTGCTTTAATTGGAGTTAGCAAGCCTCAAACATGGTAGAATGCTAACCACCATACAGGACAGCCAGAATTAAAATCCATTTTAAATTGGAAGAATATCGCGCTTTCAGACAATGAACATTTTATTAATATTGGTAACAAGTTCTGGTGTGTGTCATTGCGTATATGACGTAAGATCAAAATTATTCATAAATTTGAACACAAAAACAATCATTAAACCTACAGTGACATGTATGTAGATTTTATGAAAAGACTGCACCTTTGGATTCAGCAAAATTAATGTTCGTCACTCAGTACATAATGAATCCATATATATATAAACATATTTTACATATTTGCTCTCACACTTTCTCCCACTAATTTGCTTCTGTATTTCAGATCATCACATTTTTGCTACCATTTCCTTTTAACAAAATCCCCGTCCTATACCATCAGCACGTAACGTCTGAATAATACCAAAATTCAGTTTTTAATCCGAGATAATAAATTATATCTCCGTTATAAAAATCAGCCTGTTTTATGTCAATGTACGTCTTCTGCATTGTAATGCAGTGTGAACTTGCAAGCAGATACTGTTTCATAGAAATATTCTTCGTGTACCTACAAGTCCACATGATGTTACAACTCGGAAGACCAACTTTCGCTGCCATGAGAAAATCTCAAACCTGTTAATGTTACAATAAGTAATTTATTCCGAGAACAAAATGTTGAAAATCAAGTGCATAAATATACACTGTGAGCAGTGTGCCGAGTTACTGAATATTAAACCTGGTTGTACAAATAGATACTATTGTGTAATAAAGACTTCTACGAAGCAGTTTTAAGTACGTGTAACTGAACAAGCTGATTCATTTTACATTTGAAACATATATTGAAGTCACACAGTGATTTTCTTTTGTTTTTATAAGTATGGATAAAATAATTTTTAAAATAGTCTCTGAAACACAGAAAGTCAGATTCATGCTTTTTGTATGTGCATGGGAGTATATGAAAATCATGGGGTCAGTGGTGGGAAAAACTATGGCGTAGGAACAAAAAAATTTTGTATGTGCATGGGAGTATATGAAAAACTGCGTGTGCAACTATGGCGTAGGAACAAAAAAAATATGAGGAATGCTATTGCTAAAGGTAAACAACGAAGCGTGTTAAGAACTGGCCATACAAATACTGAATTATAAAAGTTTTAAATGTATTGCAGTGGTAAATATTTAAATTACTGTTATATAAAAATTTAATAACCTGATCCTCCCCAAGGAAAGTCAGTTTCACAGGCATTGTCATAATATAAGGCACTTTACTCATCCTGACACGAAACTATTAATACTTAACACTTTGCTGCCCTTAACATAACTAAAATACAGCGTAATAAAAGACATAAACCAACAGGTTTGGTAATATCACAAAATATAGAATTTGTATGGCACTTAAATGATTAATTCAGAATTGGCCCTTTCAGTGCTATTTATGAAATGTTCTGCAACACACATTTTTAACACAAAGTTTTGACTCGCTCGGCACAGATAAAACCACTGGGGGGGGGGGTTAAATTACGTAAGTATTTCAAATAAGTACATTTTTCTTCCAGTCATAAAGTGGAAATTATATAATATGTGTATATAGACTGGATAAGAAAAAAATTAAGAAAAACAACATAATAAACAGTGTGTCGCAAAATCACAAGTAACTTAAGTTCCTTCAACAACACTCAGTATTCTCTTATTTAGAAATATTAAAACATCACAAAATCCACATAACTTCTATCATATATACTGAATAATCTCAAATAAGGATATGCAGCACATAATTTGTACATATTAAGAATACTCTGTAGCATATATTGTAAATACAGTCGTGCCTATTCAAATGCCAGAATTTGCAGGAACCCACTAGGGGCGAGAGGCACTGTGCCTTGTACAGCAGCAGATAGGAGTGAGGAGGAGGACCACATACGTAACCATCATCCTCACATGTACTTCCAGTTGCTCTGACAAGCTGAACTACTGGGTGGGTTTTCTCTGTGGTAAGATAACTCATGACGCTACAGTTTCCAGATTTATTTACAGGTAAATGCTGGGAGAGTAGAATCAAGTAGGCCTTAAAACCTTTCTTTCCAGTGTCAACAGTTAATCCTATACCACACCTTTTACTGCAGAATTTGGTGTACTGTCGGTATGATCATGCCCCCACCCCCACAAAGATGGTATACCACGGGCGGTGAAGCTGTCTCTTGACAACCATGGTTACGACAAGGGTTTGAAAATGTTAAGCCCATTCTCAAATTACTCATTTAGAGAGCATTTCTGTCTTAACTTTCAAAATTAAAATTGACATTTAAACTGATGTTAAAAGTAAATATCATATAGTTTGTTACATGAACATTTTGGAAGCCACTGTTACACAAATCAGGGATGCCTCATCACCTTCCGCAGTTCCACGCTTGCAGTATTGCAACCAATTCTTATTTATATATGTATATGAAAAGACTATATAAAATCATTTTGGGGTCTTGCGCTTAAAATATGTACGTCAAATTAAAACTATGTGAGGTGCTTGAAATGATTACAGTAAACTTTTGTTATGTTGCAAAACAGAAAAAGTATTTTTCATAGGGCATTTTAATATGGAAATACGTATTTTAACTGTTTCTACAACAAATTAATGTTCCAAAAAACTGCAATTGAGGGGTAAAACTGCTGGCATAGAATTTTTTTTTTTTTTTTTCATTTCAAGCACCACTTGTACTTAAATGAACATGATCCATGAATATAAACAGTATTCATAAGTATGGTACAAGAAATTCATAAAAAAAATACTCAAGACATAGCATATTTAGATATGTATATATAAATATTTAACATATGTATAGTGTCCAAATATTTTGTAGCCTCTTCATTTGGCTTGCATTGAAAATGTAAGGCACAGAAGAAGAATTTCAATATATTGTAAATGATGAATTCTTTCTTTGGCATACATGCTTGACTAACATAAAATATATGTATAAAATAGTAATAACAAATTCAAGTACCACTAGAACAAAAATATTGCTCACCGGCAAGCAGCATTGTACGACACGAGAAGAATGGTGGTCTTGTGGGACCCTGAACTAGTACTGAATTTGGTATAACCCAGATCAGGACCCAGACAGTAAAATAATAGAAAGTAATGTAATATTTCGTAATCAAAAAAATTTCTTTAAATTTAAAATTTGCCAATACACGAAGCTGTGCATAGCAAGAAAAGATTAAATGTGATAGTTTAAATATTTACAGACTTTTGAAACATGATCTGCTAAAATGTAATTAAGAATATTATGATTATGATGAAAGTACATCCCAAGTTCAGTTGGGGCATAACAGTTTGATTTATCAAAAATACATAACCCCATTTATAAAAAAAAAATCATTGCCAATGTCTGTATACTTACATTATTAATACAATTTTCACACTTCTCCTTTGACAGCTACAAACAATCCTGGCTGTGATAGTAGACAAGCCATACTCTTGTAAACAGCATCAGCATTCCACCTTACAGCTGCCTATATTTAGCAGGTCCTAAAATATAACCACTAGCATTCTCCAGCATATGTTCACATTAAGTGGAAAATTGCTTTGTGCGTATATGCAGCAGGCCACATATCCAAGTTTATATTTGAAAACTGTTCATAATGAGTAAAAGATAGCACAGACATTACACTGTTATAAAAGGCATATAAATGCAAAAGCAAAGATATAATATTGTAGGAGGCATATTATGAAGGGCGTAACAGCTATAACTGCTGGTGTAGACTAAGCTAATGAACTTAATTGCTTCGTTTGTGGCTTTCAAACTAGAAACTTATACTGTGACAAGGTTTGTCCAAAATGTATGAGCTAATTGTGGCTGAGAATCTTTGATATTATTAGTTGTAGCGAACCTCCAGGAGCAAAAAACTGAGAAAAAGTAAATTAAATGTTTAATAATCATAGGGATGTTAATATACTTTTCTTCAATTATGAATAGTTTCCAACTTCTTTGCATAATTTGCTTCGTGTAGAGTAAAGTGTGCTACCGAACAGCAAGCGTTTGTCGATTGAATATCATAATTTGCTTCGTGTAGAGTAAAGTGCGCTACCGAACAGCAAGCGTTAAGGCTTTTTGTCGATTGAATACTGATTTGTTAATAATATTCACAGGTTTATAAGTTCTAAATGAATGAAAATGCAGGGACCCTGGCACAAATTTTGTGTTATTGCAGAGAGGGAAATTTATTTTTATACCTTTGTAAATTTGGCTGCTGTAGCTGCCATTCCTCCAGGAGCGCATCATGAAAAGTCTTACGTCGAGCGTTCTCAAACCATAGTAATATGTATAGGCGAGAGTGATGAGCTTCTCGCTCGATCACCTTAATCATGCATCATTACAAAAGTATGAGGATTTATGTTTACAGTAAACATCGTTGTTCTAGAACAGATATGTTACATTACTCTTATTTTCGTTTTGTTTTCTTTAACCACAGTGACCTTTAAGATTCCTGAGTTTCAACGCAACAAACATGGCCATCTTAAGCACAAATCACTCCCCTATTGGTACTTACAGCACAATTCAAAATACAACATTTCATTGTTCTTTCCTTCTGCAATTATTTCATGAGATGAAATGGCTTATGGATTATCATGATGTGCGTGCACAATTGTGCAAGCGTTAGAATCGGAGACAGAAAGATATAATTTTTGCGGAACATGTTCTTTGATAGAAACCCAACAGGTGCAAGATAAAGAGATGCAAGCTTCAACCTGAATTTTACTCGACAGAATTAGCCCAACTTCTTGGCAGCATTAATGTTTTCTGTCAGCCAGTGTTGTGTTGTTTGCCAACTCGAATAATTTCTGTTTCTCTCCCGAGTTACCGTTGTCCTCCTCAGAACTCGCGTAACGCAGGATGGGCCCTCAGGCCTCGTCTTGTATACAGAGCTGTTCACAAAAACTGTATCCATAACTCACAGTAAAGAATTTACATACAGAGGATGTCTGCTACTGCTGTAGACAAGATTTCGAAGTTGTCCTCTTATCAGACAGGACGGTGTTAGACCTGTACACGACGACAGTAGTAGCCAAGGTTTTTGCACTTCTCACATAAATGCTGAGGATGTACCTTGGATTGATCAGACACATCAAGTCCATCTGGTTTTTCCAAAGGGCGCTATAAATAAGAACACATTGGAACATGAAGTATTTGTTGGATGTTTTAGGAGATAACATACACAAAAAATATAAAGAAGACAAAAATGTTATGAACCATGATGTTCTGATATATTGGATTTATATAAAAAATACGTAGTGGAAGCTACCCATTGTTTAATTTATTTACGAAATTAAACTTTACCGAGGGTTTCAATTAATATTTATGAATCACAAATGAATGGATAAAATGAGACATAAAGATGTTATTACATTAATATCAGTGTCAGTTCTAAACTGTGAAATACTTAATCAATATCACAAAAAAGTATGAAAGTGGGCATACATAACCCTGATAAAATATTCAATAATCCCTTTTCTGATTAAATGGGACATTTTATTGACATGGGAGTATTTTATTTCAGACTCATATTGGCTAACCTGTTACAGGTGGTTGTTAGTATCTAAACATGGTGAGGTAAGAACACTAGTTTCATTGTGTTACTGTCAAAATACCGAAGGCATTTATAAAGCTTCAGTGGGTATTAAAATTAACTTTTAAAGCTTATCAATTGTGATATGTGTGATAGATAGGTACTAGTAGCAATAAAGTTGTGAAGGAGAGTTTGTTTATATTTCGAAGACAAAATTTCATTGCTGGGACATCACAATGTGACATCTTTGGGCTATTTTGTGAATTAGTTGTGACTGTCAAAACAAGTAATAAACTTGTCTGTGTACTTCGATTCCGGAAGTGAATGTGAGCGATTGTCGGAGGGTAAATCAGGTTAGTTTTCTGCATGACGAAGGCAAGAACTTGTGCTGTGGTGTGCTTTGTGTGGAATGGGGTTAATTTCCGACTCCAAGCGTTTGATGAATAAATACAGATGCAACAACTGCGCTGAAAGGTAAGTGATTCAAACACATTTCAAACTTAAATCTTACAATTATACAACACAATTTTGGAATATGGCTGGCACTTGCGATAGATAGCGGCAGTATCAATAACGTATATAGGTTCAATTCCCCCCCCCCCCCAACATAGAGAACGCGATGTATAGTATATATAATATAGTACAATATACTGTACTTTCTTTTCTGTTAATTATAATTATTACGCCATGTGTCTTGAGCAATGACACAAATATGTTTGCCCAGTTAGAAGAAAAACTTGAATGCTGATTTTTTTCTGAGACGTGTGATAAGTCAGACATCAAAACGAAGATGAACAATATACTTCGCCTAGACATTTATAGTCACTACTAGGCGAGGTGGTATCGCAGCAAACTGGCATTGATGTGCAGTGCGGCGAGGGTATTTGACGGCACGGCCTTTCCGTTATGCGTGATCACAACTTTCGTTGCTGTATATCCTACTCCTAGCGGCACAGCTTCCAAATATCCTCACTGTAAATGAGTTACGTAACTAGCAACGCCAAGTAAAGAATCTGATGGACTTACCTGTTTATGTGGGTACACGTTGATGTGGCACTTGATGCATTCTTGCCCCATGTTGGCCCAGCTGTTCCCAGACATCCATTTCCTCTTGCATTTAGGACACTTATACTCCCCGAAACACCGCTTTTTTCCCTGGTAGGGAGTTAGACCCTCGCCTTTGGGCCTCGCCTGTGAACAAGTGATTATCGTCCTCAGGTTGTCCCTTGAACCAAGTGCCACGTTATCAAGATGTGCCACCTCGGCACTAGATCTAGGTGGCTGGCCTGTCTTCTCACAGCACAATCAGTACTCATTGGCTATGGGAGGTTGGATTGTTGACAGGTATTTCTCTTCACCATCACGTCCAGATCTGCTATGGGCCCCACGACATGAAATACTGCAGCCGTCACCAAATTGCAACTTCAAGGTCACAGCGAAATCGTACTAACACCAAAGCCTTGGAAAGTCAATACAGCTCAGAACTCGCAGAGTAGCAAAGCTCGCAACTCCGTACTGGTAACTTTGAACCGCGACGTAAAGGGATTAAGTCCTTCCGTGACATTAAAGCACGCATTTGGTGAAAGCTTCTGTCCTGTTGCCAAACTCGTCAAAAAATTTTACTTACCTTTCTATCTTTTTTAATACTATTCATACTTCCGAACCCCCTTGTAGTTTGTAAAACAAATGGCCGACACCGTAAGACATAGAACGTCTCCAGGCTTCCAGCGGAGCGTCACTTGTGACTCAAATTCCCAGAGCAGCTCACCATTCCTTTACCTTCCTGAATTTTCTTAATTTCCACACTACAGAAAATAATTCGAAAAATATGTAGCATAGGTTATTTGGGTCGACGTCGAATGTACATGCAAGTTAACTTAGCATTTGTCCAGAGGAACTGAGTACGGCGAGAAACTTCAGACTGAAATCCGATTCGAGCGTCAGATATCTTGAACAGCATTCAGTGCTCGTATCTCGACTTGCCTGTATCAACAACGTCAACTTCCCAGAATTCTTCTGCATGTTTATAGCAGAAGGTAGGGCATCGTTAATTGTGAGCGAGGACCCTCTCTCTCTCTCTCTCACACATACAAACATTTCGAAGAAATAACGCAGTTCGTTGTGTCTCGCTACCGATAACAACACAGCGACACAACGGACGCCATTGTTAGTGTCAGGAGTGGCCAGTAGAGCGACAATCGACAATTGGTCACGTACACATCGGGACAAGAACGTTCTGGAACAATTGAAGTTCCACGTAAAGGGTTAAAAAGGTTTGTTTAAGATTTGTCCCCAAACAAACGGGTGCCCCAATTAACCGGAATCTACTGTATTGTCTTTAAAACATGTTTGCTTCGTCAGTAAACACTCGTTTTTGATATTTGCTACATTCTCTGTTCACTTTACACACCCACGTACGTCTGGTAGTATCCTCCCGTTAAGGCGCACAGGAGACGTGGAGATGGAACTCCACTCATGTCAAGCGATAGTTATCATCCAGTTTCACATTTCGTCCACAGGAGGAAACATTTTCTAGAGAAGTTGATTGTTCTTCGGGTGGTGTCACACTCCAAACGTTCGCACGATCGCCATGTTGGATTCCTTACTTCCAAACGAAATGTTTGAGGTCGATGGAAAAGGGTGGCCTCGCTGAGATCTTCTGGTGACGTCAGTGATTCAAGTGTGTAATTGCGGGTCACCACTTGGTATCTTCTCAATTAAGACGTCAGAAAACAATGACGTGGCTCCTGCATCAGTGGCGTTACACACATCTCACTCGCAAGGCACAGGACCAATTGGAAATTAAGCCTTGAAACTCGCAAACTGCAGGATTTACTTCAATTCTGGATCCACTAATTCTTCTCCGTGAATGAAGAGATGGGCGGAACATGTAGCACGTACGGGAATATTGAAGAACTGATGCCAATAAGAACCACCTGAAATACCAAAGTGTAGATGGGAGGACAATATTAAAACGGAGCATACAGAACTAGAGTCTGATTGTGTGTGGACAGGATTCATCTGACCCAGGATAGGGTCCAGTGGCGGATTACGAATAAGGTCATGAACCTTCGAAAGTCATAAAAATGCAGGGATCCTCTTCATTCGTTCCTGGGACCAGTTGTTAAGTGTCCATAACCAGATTCCCATTCAGATGTTTCATCCGTGTGTCCGTACTTCGCCGATTAACTAGTTGGCACTCCTGCTTCGTGTTAGGAGGACCTCACAGTGTCGAGACCAGCTCTTCCGGTAAGATGTTTGTTAGCGGTTCTCCGGGGCAAATGCTACGATAGCTCCTCTTCGGATTATTTACAATAGTCAATCGTCATCCTATAACTGAACGCCAGCCTAAACAGTTGAATGCGTAGCGATTGTTAAAATCCAACAATAAATACGATGATGTTCTGGGATCACGCGTGCTCTGTGGCTTCGTACACTCAGGAACGTGACGCAATCACTGTCCGTTGCCATGAACCTCTCTCTCTCTCTCTCCCCCCCCCCCCCAAAAAAAAAAAGGTTGACCTGTCATCCACAACAAAGCAGACCCTTGTTACGAAGTTATCGATGCATATGTGAGCAACACAGGAACACAGGGAGATATTTACTCATACAAACAAATTGAAAACAAACAAAATGCTGAATGTGGAATAATGGAGGTAAAATTTGACGCTGTGGTCACGAGTCCTGCGTCTCACATATTTATAAACAAACTGTGTAATATATACAATACTCAGAGCACTGGCTAGAACAGAGGTTCCCAAAGTGTGGGGCGCGCCCCCCCTGGGGGGAGTAGTTCTCTTGGGGTGGGGGGGGGGGGGGGGGTTTGCTGTTTGTATGAAAAACTTTCTTTAACGAAATATGGAGAAATATTTTTAACATCCTTTGCTTGGTTGAGGCAGTTTTAGTTTGTCTTTACAGTGCTCTATACTCATAGCTAAAATTTACGTCAAATCTGTTTTTCTTGCACGTGTTCTGGAAGGGGGGGGCGTGAAATTTATGAAATGTTTTAAGGGGGGGTGTAAGGTATAAAAGTTTTGGGAACCTCTGGGCTAGAAGTGAAGCCTCGACTGTCTTCTGGGATAGTTCGCCGAGTAGTCTGGTAACCTACCACCTCCCTGATGATGGAGGCAACAGGGACCTCTGAAAGTTTGGTACACTTCTACCAGACTATAATGCGCTTCAACCCAGAAGACAGCCAACTTCAGACTTTCCGCCGCGAAAACCTCAAAAATCCTGTCTCTGAAACAGCCACCGTCTAAAATGCGTAACATTGAATTCAGTTTTACTCAAGCACTTAGTTCCTTCGTTACGTTCTTGGCACAGGACAGAAATAAACTGCAGTCATTTTTGTTCCCACCTAACCTTATACGTGACGTCACACATCGTCACAGCGAGATATTTGTGTGCGGTTTATTTAACATCTGTGTCAACAGCTCAGACTACGAAGCGTCTGATGGTTAACAATTAATTGGAAAGGACATGTACGATGGCGGTCGTGACCTAATTTACGCCTTTAAAGTCCTGCGGTAACTATATGTACCATCTGTTTTAACAATCAGCGAGTCTACATTTTGTATTTATGTTTTTTCGTATGATTCTCACTGTAAACAGCGATTATGTCCTTAAACAGCGTTAACCATTCGATCTTTGTAATGGTGAAGTGTGGTGTTTTCTTCGCGGTACGGACTGAATTCTTAAATGTAATTTAGACGAACTATGATTCTCACTGTAAACAGCGATTATGTCCTTAAACAGCGTTAACCATTCGATCTTTGTAATGGTGAAGTGTGGTGTTTTCTTCGCGGTACGGACTGAATTCTTAAATGTAATTTAGACGAACTATGATTCTCACTGTAAACAGCGATTATGTCCTTAAACAGCGTTAACCATTCGATCTTTGTAATGGTGAAGTGTGGTGTTTTCTTCGCGGTACGGACTGAATTCTTAAATGTAATTTAGACGAACTATGATTCTCACTGTAAACAGCGATTATGTCCTTAAACAGCGTTAACCATTCGATCTTTGTAATGGTGAAGTGTGGTGTTTTCTTCGCGGTACGGACTGAATTCTTAAATGTAATTTAGACGAACTATGATTCTCACTGTAAACAGCGATTATGTCCTTAAACAGCGTTAACCATTCGATCTTTGTAATGGTGAAGTGTGGTGTTTTCTTCGCGGTACGGACTGGATTTGTAAATATCATTTAGACGAGCTTCGGCTTCAAAGGGCTAAATATATGTCAAAGCAGTCATTCACTCGAGCGTGACGTTCGATGACTCATCTAGACGTAGCAGTGGAGGCGTGGCCATTCGAAACCACAATTGATTTACGTTCTCGAAAGTCGCTGCCGAGTAACTATAAATAAATGGGGCCTGTACTGACTGAGATACGCATTAATTGCTTGTGAAGTCAGCGGTTTTATTAAACTGGAGACGTCCGAAATACGACGACGTCAGCTGATCTAGTTTTACCTGAGGGCAGTCTTTGATGTAGTGTCCTTTCTTGAAACACAGGTGACAGAGGTATGTGGGGGGTGGCCTCTTTGTCGGCTTCCTCTCCAGACCCAGGCTCAGTTCTGTGAAGTGATCCGCGAGATCTCCTGCAAGTAAGAGCCGCCACTGGTCACCACATTCACACATCGTTGTCAACTCGCCTGCTTATTGTTCCTTGTAATTTTTAAAAGACTACTTTCTTTCGGACGCGTACATTACAGTCTTTATATTCGTCTTTCATTTTATGGTGTCACGTGTTCCTAAATGTTGACATTTAAGACTGAATATTGGGACATAGTTTAGTCTATAGTAAGCGCGCACTCATAATTTTACTTAATTGGTAAACCTTTCCTGTCGGAAACGTTTGATTTTAAATAATGTCATAATTATACTCTTCGACAATGAATCATATACGATATAACATATCATAAGGTAGGGGGAAGGCCGCGGTGGTCTAGCGGTTAGAACGCTGGCCTTGTAATCCTGGGGTCTCGGGTTCGATTTCCGGCGGTGCCCGAATTTATAACTTGTGTTGGGCAAGGCCGTGGTCTAGGCAACACGGAGTTTTCCTCCGTGGCATCCCAACAATTACTCCATTCACACACAGAAGAAGGCAATGGCAAACCACTTCTGGATCATCTGCCAAGAACGTATATGAACAGGTCCCAGTCCGAGAAAAGGATGGAAGGATCCTGTTCATAGGGACCTGTCGTCAGACAGAACACAAAAAAAAAAGGTAGGGGGGAGTCCCAGAAGGGCGTTATATGAAACGCCTTGCGCATGCTTACCGATCAAAATAACATTTGCAGCTTGCACCTGTAACAATGGAACGAATACGGCCGCGCAGAATGTTATTTTTGACCGGTGAACATCTGCTGCGCCGTCTCGTTGCATAAACCAAGCCGTGACGAGCAGACGCCAAGTAAACTGACGCGGATAATAAATAATGTACTTGCCTATACTTTCGCTCAAGGTGCCGGTGGTGAGACAGTTGCCTAGGCCCGCGTTGAGCGCGTTGGCGAGTCCACTGAGCCCCCCTGAGAGGCTGCTGCTATTGTAACCATTGTTATAGTTGTAATTGTACGTCTGTGCTGTTGGGAACGGGCTCCATACCGGTGGAAGGATCTTCGACTGAAAATTATAAACGGTGCGTTGTCATAATTTTTCGTTACAAGATTAAATTTTGATGAAACGAAGATGGCTGTCTTCTGGGTAGTAGCGCCGTGTAATCTCCAAGACGTTTACCAACGTTTCAGAGGCCCTTGCCGCCTCCATCATCAGGGCGATAAGTAAATAACGGCGATACAACCCAGATGACAGCGATCTTCGTACTCACCGCCCTGAAAACATCAAATAGTACTTAATTTTACAAATGTTAGTGGCTTGTCAGAGGATGTGTGGGTCAAAATGTGTCCTAAACAGTTCTGAAAGCCCAAGAAAGTCTTGGAAAACACTCCAGGTCCATCTTGGATTTGTACAAATCATGCTTAGGCGACCGAGTATTGCGCAGAGGATTATCGGTTTCGGTGAACGGGTTTCTTTAACTTAAAACGAAGATAAAAATTTCTGAATGTTGAAGACGCCTCAAACCTTGGCCACGCAGTCTGGATGGAATTATTCATACTGTTTCCGAAACACCAGGTCAGCATTTCAGCGAAAATGTTTCTCGGTCCCAGGTACAATGCCTTAAAACGGGGGAATTCGACACACCCTCGGTTGCCAAGAACTCTCATGTGTCTGCTTGGTGGGATGATCTGGGTTCCTTCGCCGCTACAAAATGGTATGAAGCTGTCGTCAGGTTGACATAAATACCGTCCACTTGACTCGATGACTCTGGCCAGAACAGAGACGCTGCTGGTTTCTCGAAGGAATTGTTCTTTGCTTGACTGATTAATAGATCGGGTGATAGTTGTATCCCCTCCCCCAGAGTTGGGCCCACTTCCTTCCATCTTTTCGTCTGTCTGTTTTCACTTTGTATCATTCATCTTGAGTGTGTGTGCGTAAATTCGTCGGTTCCGAGAAAAAAGGGTCTCTTTGTCAAAAGAAATTATGACCGAAATAAGAGTTGTTTTTGGTATTACCTGTAATTCAGCAAAACAAACACCAGACTGTGGTCCTTGTTGCTTAAACTGAGAAATCATGTTTGAGCAAATTTTTTAAAAAATCAACAAATGTGATGACTTTCACGAAAATGACTTCTGTTCCCTGAAATTTTAGGACATCGGCGAATTGGAATCCGGCAAAATGACGTCTCCACCGTCGAGGAGCCGAAAGTAATTCATAAGTCCCTGTGCGCGCATGGACCAACACTTGTAACCGAAAGCCGGTCCCGCGATGAGAAATATACAGTCTTCGTGTTCGTACAGATACACAGAGACTTTTGAATCACCCTGTATATCTCTGATGCATCCTGCTAACTGTAGCCACGTCAAGAGTGACCGACAATCTTCCTTCTACAGGACCCGAGATGAGATAACCTGTTACTCCTGAAAGGATGCTGGACCCGGAAGGGAGGGGGCACGACCCTGTCACGCTCACGTAGTCACTCGGTCAAATTTACTATCTGCATCCCAAGGAAATCAATTCAATGTGGATCTGGCAAATACGCAGCTATTTAGAGCGTCTCTTGCCTGCCGCTTGCTTCTACGTCTGTTCGCGTTTCTACGTCAGACATGGCGTTCATTTTAAACCTGTAAAAAGGAACTCCGCATTGCGCGTGTTTCTGAGAAGGTAAAGATGTAGAATGAAGCCGGCATCATAAGCCTCGACATAAGATGAAATTGAGCGAAGAGTTCTGAAATTTAAAATGGGGCATGTGGATGATACCGTGTTGGTTGGGTTATGCAACCCACAACTAACTAACTAATTAGATGGCTTACCGAACCCCGAAGGTTCATCACCGAATTAACCAAAGCCCTCCACCGGACCCTGTCCCGGGCCAACAAAATCCAGTCTCCTTCAACTCCTATCTCCCATAGATCCCGCCTGAGATTATCCTCCCATCTACGTCTAGGTCTCCCCAGAGGTCTCTTCCCCTCAGGCTTCCCAAATAGTGGACCCAACCAA